CCTGACACCCGACACGCGGCCCCTGGGTGCGCCCGTGAGACCGTGACCTTGGCGAGAGCCAGGTTAGGACATTCGGAATTGGCTTCCGTCTGGAGAAAAACAGGGAGTTATGGATGGGTGTAGGCTGAGGGACGGCACGATCGGAAAGTCAGCGTGTTTAGCGTGGGGACGAAGGTGCAGAGGAATGAGCCCAGGACGGGGGAGATGGCAGGGAGCTGACGAGGGTCACAGCTGCAGACCCTAAGAGGTGCTGCCTCCGAGCAGACAGCACCCGGCCGGCTGGTCTACAGATGGGGTGCCGGGCTGCAAATGAACCCCCCGCTTCCGATCCTTTGTGAGATTCTCGGGGACGTGCCACAGGATTCCTCTTCGTCAACTCCGTATTCACCTCTTCGGAAGGCGTGGAAAAGGCCTCTTACCCATCGCGTACGTGACTAAAGGCCTTCCACGCGGTCCCTCCTGGAACGGCCTGGCTTGTGGGCAGGGGGACCCACGCTAGGCACGAGGCGTTGGTTCCCTGCCGGGCCTCGCGCCAACTCCGTGACGGGGGCGGAGCTGTCCCCACCTCGTAGACGAGGACGCTACGGCTCAGGGAGGCCACATAACCGCGTCGGCATCACGCCGTGAGGCGCAGACGCCGCTGGCACCTGCGCCAACTCCGTGACAGGGGCGGAGCTGTCCCCACGCAGACGAGGACGCTGCGGCTCAGGGAGGCCACATAACCGTGTTGGCATCACGCCGTGAGGCGCAGACGCCGCTGGCACCAGGCGCAGTGCCCTCACTCACCCTGTGACACCCGCTGCCCGCATTTCACCGGCCACACAGGGCTTGAGGGCACGCCTGAGCCCCGGAAGCCTCCCCAGAACTCTGAGCTTAGTCTCTCGAGAACCCGGGGTGACGTCCCGGCCTCCGAGCTCATGCCCCGAGGGAGTGTCAGGACGGCCACACTTCTCTGCGTCAGCCCCTCGCTCAGAGGACAAACCCCTTCCTCTCTTCCAGGCCGGCCCTCTGCCTGTTCCTGCCACCTCTTCAGGCCTCTGCTTCATTGGTGTGTCCCCCATTTCCTGAACCTCCAGTCTCTTTTTTTTTTCTCCTCTTTACCCCAGAAACATACCCAGATCTTTCTCGCCCCGAAAACAAGACAGAAACAAGCCTGTCTCCGTCCGATCCTCCACTCTCCTTCCTTCTAATCTACACTTGGAAGAGTTGGGCTGGCCTTGCCCACCCCCCAAGCCCCTCACGCTCACTCCCTTGTCATCGCCCCACAGGCTGCAGACACTGCGTGCACAAGGACCACTCACATGCGTCCCTTGGCTCACAGCTAACATTAGGCCAAACCAGAGAACATGAGGGGTGGGGCCAGAGACGCAGAGAGAGAAGGCTGACTGCTCGCTGGGTGCTGCCAGGGCCTTCCCGACTTCATGTCACACAAGGCCTCCCGGCGGAGGAAAGCCAGGGTCGGAGACGCCAGACAACGTCTTCAGAGTCGCATGAAAGAGATCACGAGATCTCGGTGAGCCGCGGAGTTAGTCTGAGCGGGCAGCGATGTGGGTCCTCAAAGGGCCACGTCGCACGTGGGTCGTTTTCGTGGAATGGTCTGGACCTCGGCAACAGTCGCTCTGCATGGGGGACGCCCGAATCCGCAGTTGCAGAAGAACCCGGCAAGATGGGCGGGTAACCCCAGGGACCAGGGACGCTGGAAGCCAAGCCACGTGAGAAACGATATGGAGGAGAAGATGGGTCACAGCTGACTTCGTGGAGGCGGTAGCGGCAGCACGGGCTGAGCCTTTCCGGAGAACAGAGCCGTGACCGGGAGGCAGAAGCACGGGGCGGGTTTCCGCTCAGCGTTAGGAAGGACCTTCCGGGCAGCGGGCACGCCGGGCACGCGGCCGCGCTTCGGAAAGGGTTCGCATTCTGGCGTCACCACTCCCGGCTCGAGGACCCCCAACCAACGGTCCAGCCTCCCCGAACCCCACTCTGCTTAACTGTAAAACAGGAGTAACAAGAGGATCTGTTTCCAAGGGGGCAGGGACGAAACGAGACAGGGTCACGTCCAGCAGGAAGCGCTGTGCTGGACGCGAGCAAACACTCCTGGACCCTCACCGCCGTCGGGGCACGCTCGGTGGGTCGCGAGCCCCCCGCCAGCGGGGTGTCCGGCAGGAGCCACTGAGGACGGTGTAAAGACTTTTGCAACAGAGAGTGTCATGGCTCAGGAGCCGGCGCCTAGGGCCGGTCACGCCCGGGTTGGGGTGTGTGACCTTCCAACACGGTGCTGCCGAGACTCGCTGTGTGTGTGTGTGTCAAGCAGGTGTACCAGGGGTGTCGAGGAAAGGCGGGTGCTCCTGCCAGCTCTCCTACCCTCCCCATCACAGTCCACAGACCCCGAAGACCACAGGGCATTGTGTCCCCCGTCTTGGCTTCGCAGCAAGAAGGCAGCTGAGGTGGTGGCCGCCCAGCCCCCCAAGAACCAAGCTCACGCGTGTACGAGAGCACAGAGCCCCGGCGGCCACACGGACGGACGTGACTGGACCTGGCTAGGGACAAAGACGAAGTGTGCGGTGCCTGGCAACAGCATGTAAATATTTTTAAAAACTAACAGGAAGGGAGCGGAATGACATGGGTGGGGGGGGAGGCAGGGGGAGGAAAGCACCATCTTTGCATGTTTTCCCGAGTCTGTAAGGTGGGTCTGTGGCTGAGGTTGATTAGAATTGCAAAGACGCCTCTGGACACACATTCAGGCCTTTGTCTTTGCCTAAAGCTCACTTGACAACAAGCCGAGGTGCCTGCCCCAGGTCCCCGGGGATTTTCTTACTTCCTACGTGGCGTGTTTAACGGTGGACAGCGGGAGCCCAGGGCTGCGTCTCAGAGAGCAGCACAGCTCGTCCTAAGCCACCGAGGGGCTCAGAAGAGCAAACAGTCCCTTCCCCAGGCTAGGACAGTGCTGTGAGGTCACTCTGCCCCCATGTGGCTGGAACAGCTCAGAGGGGACTGGGGAGGGACAGAGTCTGTGACAGGGGCCAGTGTGGGGTCCACCCAGCATGAAAAAGCCTCCCGCCCAAAACAGAAGCTCCGTGCTTGTCCACACGTGTGTCCCCCACCAGGAAGCCCGCATCCCACTGGTCAGCTGGCGAAACCCTGTGAGCGAGGACACTGCTGTCTTCTTCTGCCTTAAATGGCCTTTAGACATTTGGCCATCTAAATCCGCCCCTCCCCCATACCAACGGATTCCTTAACCCCACCTGCCCAAAATAACTGAAGTGTCCCCATCCAGCTCAAGTCTGCTCACGGTTTGCTAGGTCACCACAGAAAAGGCCAGCACCCGCCTGACAGCCCAGGGCCGGTCCTGGTGCCTCTCCCTTAGGAGAGATGAAGAAGACTTGTCACAGCAGGAGACACTGCAGCTCCCCCAGGCCACCACCAGCTCTGAACTGAGAGGGAGCAGCTCAGAGCCAACCTCCCAGTCGAGCTCAGCCCTGTCCGCCCAGGCGAGTGTGAGGGCACCAGCTTCCGGCCCCGACACCCGTCAGCTGCATTGGTGGGTTCATGGGGAAGGGCGGAGGGGAGACCCCGCGGAGTTTAGCTAGCACTGCCCAACCCCCGCCCACGTCACAGCCTCCACAGAGAGGTCATCGCAGACTTCTGCTCACCTTCCCCCACTGCCCTTCCCTCCCTGGGGGCTGGGACTGTAGCTGCCTGTCCACTGCTGCACCCCATGCACTGGCCACTGCCTGGCACACAGCCGGGTCCCTGTAGGTGTGTGCAGGTGTAATGAGCGAACGTCTTGCACAAACGGAGAGGGCCCGGGCACGGTGCCCGCGTGGAAGTGGCCGTCCAAGTGCTCCATGTTCCCTCTGGAGCCGCCCCGCTCCCCCACTGCCACTGCGTGCGATCTAGTACGAAAACGTCGGGGTCAGGAAGTCACCAAGTTGTCGCCCCCAGGACATAAGCGCGGGGTGTGCGAAGCTGGGGCTCCGATGCATGGGGGGCCACGGAGAAGCCGTGCTCTGTGCCCGGAAGGCTGATCACCAGCCTCGGTCCACACTTGAGTTGGGGGGAAAATCAGAAGATCCCAGGTTGGTTGAACACTTAAGTTCCCAGAGCGTGCTGGGAATTGCCATGAAGTGACACAGCCGCCCTTAGTAAGGGCTCCCGTTTGCTCCATCTTCATACACTACGGGATGCAAAGCCACAGGAGCTACTTAGAAAAGAGTCTGACGTAGCCCTCGCCCGGAGCCTCCAGGAGAAGGTCCCACACGGTCCTACGCGTTCGGGTCTGGGCATCCTGCTAGGTTCATGGAGATGCAAACCCAAACAAGAGAAACTGCTCTCTCTCTCTCCCTCTCTTTACGTAAATAAATCATACATATGAAAACATGCTTCGAAAATTATACAGTGCTATAGAACAAGAAAACATCACAAAGAACATGTTTCTTCAAAAGAAAGAAAGCAGTACTCAGGTGAGAGAGGGATAAGGAGGTTTCCCTTTCACACTCCTGAAATTCATTTTTTTTTTTAGCCTACGCCTGACAGGTAACCTCAGATGCCCTGAGGTCGCCCCCACCACACGCGTAAAGCCCAGAGTCTGAGTGAACACACATCCACTTTCCCTTCCCTGGCTTTGAGCCCTCCTGTTCGGTGACATTGATTAAATGTCGGAATGCTGACTGCCAGCACTTCCGGCCCTTCCGTGGGGGCTTTCGGGACGCCTCCAGGTCACCGTCCCGGCACGGCCAACGGGATTAGTCGTCCCGTTCAACTGGTAGACCCTGAGTCCATGCAGAGATGCACACACCTCTACACATTCAAGTATGAAGAAACACACATAAAGCAGGTGTGTGTGCACGTACACACACACATATGCAAATCTGTGCAAGTCTGACTCTCAGACGACTAGCCAACAAAAACGCCCCCGTGCTACCCCCAACGGTGGGGGGGCCCCCTTACCGTTCTGGACCACGCTGATGAGGGTGACGATGACCAACAGGACGATATTGCCCAGGGTCTCTTGGTCCATGTTGGTGGCTTCGGGCTCCTCAGCGAGGACTGCTTGGTGGCACCCAGGCCCGCACTGTGCAGGAAGGGGAAGTGGGGGCCAGCTCTCTGCCTTTCATCATGAGAATTTCTGAAGGGCCCAGCACGGTTACAATGCCGCCTGGTTCTTCCTTCTTTTTTTTTTCAGTTAGCCACCAATGTGCTCCGGCTCAGTGTGACCTGCCAGGGCCGGGCAGAGGAGCAGGAAGAAAAGAAAAAATAAAACTTGCTTTTTATTTGCAGAACACCCAAAAGATCTGTTCCCGAGTACTATCGTTCTTCCCCAGAATTCCTGGGAAAAAAGGAAGAACAAACAGGTGGCAGACTCCCCAGGGGCAGCCACGTAATAAGGCCTGGGTGAATGAATGAATGAATGAATGAATGAGGAGGAAGAGGCTCAGCGGATGTCTCCACGTCTACAAAACCAAAGCAACCAGAGAATTGAAACTCAACCAAAGAATTAAGAAAAGTGGCAGAAACGGGGTTGCAGAGGATCCCTACAAAAAAAAAAACCTTCCCAAGGGGAAGCGTTGAACACTGAGGCTGGCTTCCCTAGCTCACTGTGGGGACTCCCTCCCCCGGGGAGAGACAGAGAAGGTGTGACGGTGAATTTGCTGGGAGGGGAGGAGGGGGAGCAGGTGGCCTGGCGTTTGAGAGCACAGCTTGCTCTGCGGTAAATGGCGACCCTCGGCAAGTGACACAGAAAATCCAAGGTTCCTGCAATCTTCGGTCGTCCTTAAAGAAAAGAAAGGAAAACGGATACATTTCACAGGAAATAACATTCCCCCGGGCTCCTGTCGGTAAAGGTGACTGAGCAGAACCCGCCCCACAGTGACAAGGCCACGGGCAGCCCCCGCTCCCCGCCCCCGCGCCCGCACCAGCGCCTGCGTCGGTCGGTGCATGGGCTGCGCTTCTCTGTGTGACAGGTTAGTTAGACAAATGCGCCGGGCGTAGGGAAGAATAATTAGCACATTCATTAATTAGAGTGCAGTTTGCAATTTCGCCGTGAAGGACAACCATTTGTCAACAGAGATCAGGACAGCTGGGGCCAAGCGGGAACTCGGGGTGGGGGGGGGCAGCAATTCAGAGAAGGCGATGGCACTGACCAGATGCTATTTGGGACAGGGACGCTGCTCGTGCACTTGGCTTCCACGTGCCTCCATCGCCATGGCAACACGGGGCCACTTCGGAGCTGTCAGGCAAAACACCCACCTATCTCCCTTCTCACCTTGGTGCGGTGCGTGTGGCCGCCTCACGACATCTCTGCCCTTCACGAGGCACTCATGGGGGCAGGACCCCCTTCCACAAAGAGTTGGGAGTGGGGTTGGGGACGCAGAACGCCCCTGAGCTGGGGTAGCGACACCGGAAGGGACATAGAGAGGTAGCCTCGGACTCCAGGCACAAACCGTAGATGGTCCCAGAGCAGTTCCTTTTGTTTCAATCGATCGAAAGAATAGTCGGGTCGATACGGATCCGAAGGATCCGTGATGGGAACGAAGGCTCGGCCACGGTCTTCGAGCTGTCGCTCACACATGGGTAGCCTCCGGGAGAACTCAAGCAGCCACGTTGAAGGCTCCGGTCTCCTCCCCCGGCCACAGTCCATGGCCTTTCTTTACACGAGCAGCCCATGGTTCTGAACCGAGTTTAACTAAGCAGAGATGCGCTCTCCTGCTATTATACAGCAAGGACACTGAGGGAGAGTGAGTTTGCCGGAACCTCAACTCTGTCAGTTAAATTCTACACGAGCTTAGAGCCCTGAGCCTGGAGATTCACAAATCAAATGACGTTTACAGATGTGGCCTTCCTGACCTAGAATCTCAAGCTAGAAGCCGATAACGTGGAGATGAGAGACAGAGAGGAGTAGAGGCCCACAGACATTTGCACAGACTGCAGGAAACCACTATGGTACCAGAAAGCCTCTTCCCTCGCCCACCGCAAATACGCACCACACCGTGTGTTGTTACGAGTTTGCAGAGAATGAAGTGAGTCACCCAGGAGTGCAGGAAACACCATGCTGTGTGTGGCGAAGGTCAACGTAGGTTCCTTTGCCCGAGTATCAGCTAGATCTGTCTTACAGATTATCTAAGGAGAGGAGGCTGGTGATGGCCTGACTTGGGAACGTGCGGTTCCAACGAGATTAGAAATTGTGCTGCTCATATGTGCTTAGCTGATTTTTGACAAATTAATTGATGATGAGAAAAATTAATAAGAAAAGGAAAGTCTTTTTAGCAAAGGCTGCTAGAACAGCTATCAGTGGGGGGGGGGGAGGGGATGGGGAGGGTTTGGGAGGACGAACCTTGACCTACCCCAGAACCACAAGAAATGTAAATAGAAATGGGTCTCGAACAAATATATAAAAACTAAAACTATAAAGCTTCTAGAGGAAGGTATAAGAGAAAGAGTCTATGACCATAAGGAAAGCAAAGGTTTTTAGATAGACACAAGTGTGAGTTATGTAAGGGAAAAAAAATCAATAAATTAGACTTCATCAAAATTTAAAACTTGTGCACTTTAAATGACACCATTAAGAAAATAAAAAGGCAAGCCACAAACAGGGAGCAAATGCTTGTAATACATAAATCTGACAGAGGACTTCTATCCAGGAGATATAAAGAACTTATTTCCAGTCCATGATAAGGAGATAACCACGTTTTACAAATGGGTAAATGATTTAAACGGATGTTTTGCCGAAGAAGACATACAAATGGCCGACGAAGGCATGAAAAGCTGATGGACATCACCGGTCATCAGGGAAAGGCAGATTAAAACCACGACGAAGTCCCCTGTGAACCTTGTAGCCGGGTCAGCAAGGGTGTGCAGTGAGCGGCACGCAATCCACTGCTGGTGAGGGTGAGAGACGGTAAATGAAAACGTGGCAAAATGTAGATAAAAACATTTTGGAAAACGTTTGGCGGTTTCTTAAAAGGCTGAACGCACACGGACGATATAACAAAACAGAAGTCAATTTCCAAAGAAAAGACAATGGCCAAATCATGCTTCCATCTAGCAGAACGAAACTTTCATAAAGCAGAAAATGCACTAACCCTTTCCTCCCGCCCCCCCCAAAAGGGTATAAATCTCTTTATTCATCTTTGTTCATCGTTCTTTCTGCTTCTGAGTCACCTTGCCCTTTTGAGAGCTGGCAACTTAAATGCCGAGATAAGGTTAACTACCATTGATATATATTATGTTATATTGTAGGGACTTAAACAGAGGAATAGAAAAAATAGTTAACATATATACAGTTATACTCACATCAAGGTAAAGAAGAAATAGTCAACTCTGACGGCCCTCATTTCTACAACTGGTCATCAGCAAGAACCTCGGAGAGTCAGGCTCCCGCCTGGGAAAGTGACCCAGGCCTGTATTCCTGGGGGGCACGGACCATCATCGGTCCCGAAGGCACTGGATTGTTGCCATTTTCCATGGACACTAATCACGGGACACGGGAGCACGAAGTCCTCACCCGACTGCATAGCAGCGGGCCGGTTTCCCCTTTGTAACCAGCATGGATCACTCCAGAGGAGAAAGGACAGCTCCGCGTCCTCGCTGTTGGCTCGCTGGCCCGAGGAGATGGCCCTCAGCTTTCGGTTTAACGGAGCCATGGCTGTAGAGTCTCTGGCGGAAGCATTCCCCCCACGGGGGCTAAGATCTCTAAACGGGCAGAGCCCAGGGTTACAGAGACGAGGACTCCGGGGTGGCAGTCCCATTTTCACCCCGTGACTCCTGGACCCACGAGCCCTGCGAGGTGCTGTCATAATAACTGAGCCTGGAAAAGTAAGTCTATGCCACAGCTCTAACTGGGCCGGCTGCTTCCCTGTAAGACCGGTGAAGTTCATGGTCACGAGGCCATCATCGTATTTCCTTCGCTGTAAAATTACCTTCGACCAGAAGCAGTGGTGGCTAGAGTTCCATGACAATAGCATCCAGCCCAGGGATGATGGGCTGAGCAAAAGCCTTGCGGTCAAGGAAGGCAAGTCCGCATCTGGAGCAAGTGTCTATTCCAGTGAAGACAGTGCAGTGTCCCTCCCGTGATAAAAGCAGTCCATGTGGCCTCCTTGCCACCTCCCCTCATCCAGGGAGTGGTGCCACATCCATGCAGGTGTCCACGCAGGGCAGGCCCAGCACTCAGCAGTGACTAGAGCCGAACTGGTCTTGATGAGTAGAAATCCACGTTGCTTTGTCAATATGTAACCCTGCCCCCACGACCTCTGGATGTGGAAGCCCACTGGGCCAGAAGCGGGGAAGCTGGAAAAAGAGGATCATGGTGCCACCTAGCGGGACCATCTTGCCCACCTGGCTATCAGGTGCCTGCTCTGCCGCAGTCACCTTTATAAGCGCCCATATGGGATACGTAGCCTCACATTTTCTGTGCATTCAGAGAAATCGATCCATATGCCTCTTCCCCAGACCGACCTCCTGCCATCAGCTTTCCAAGCACGTCCAAGTTCCTGACAATCCAACCAGACCATTGGCCGCTGTCCATGAGTTAGCTCAGGTTCGTATTGATGGCCATTTTTTCACTGTCCTGCATTCATTCACTGGGTCAGTGTCCTTTACCACTGTCCCCAGGGCCCCCCCCCAGAGTGAGGCTATCGTCTGCAGCTACCCACTTGGGGCGGTACCAGCATACTGTGCAGACACCTGTAGACTACACCTCGATTTTTTTCTTTTTCGGTCAGCCACTCATCGGTCATCCTCATGAGGCCGTAGATTCTGACTGAAGGGAGCTCTGACCTCGGTGATGGTGACATATATACATATGCCCCTTCCACGTGCTGATGGGACGCGGCTGCGTGAACTCAAGTTCCTGCCTTGGGTCAGGTGACACTCCGTTCATGATGGACAGACAGCTCAGGCCACAAGACAACTTGATGGCCCACGCTGAAGCGTTCGGTGTTTATTACCAATAGCAACTCAGGTGTTTCTTGAAAGAAAAATAGTTATCTTCAGAGGGTAATATAGCTTTGCTCCAAAATCCTAAGGCCCTAACCTACCCCAGGACCCACCTACAGAGCTGCCGGAGGCCGTAAATGGCACCCCTGTCCACCACTGACGCTGCAAGCA